ATGCCACACAAGGTCAACTACTGTTGTGAGTCAAAGGCTGTTACTCTCACTTCACCCTTAGAATTCAGCTCCGATTCCAATGTTTGAAACAGCCAGCAGATACTGCATGATATTACAGTTGATGACATCTTCTATCACTTTACTAATGATCAAGAGTAGACTGATGGTGTGGTAACTGGCTCGGCTGATTTTTTTGCTTTTTGTGTACAAGACATTCCTGAGCAATTTTCCACAATGATGCCAACGTTGCAGCTGTATTGGAACAGCTCAACAAGGGGTGCAGCAAGGTCTGAAGTACAGGTCTTCAGACTTCATGGAAAGCCCAGTTCTACACATCATGTCAAAGTATTTTTTCCTCATTTGTCTTCCACCCTCATCTCAATGAACAACATTAATTTTAAGATTGTTCTGTAGCAGCTTTTATTTATATATTTATACCCTAAAAATGATCCAAGTATGACATCTCAGATATTATCAGCCATGAAACCTCAAGCCATACTTGTAAAATTAAAATTATCTTGGAGCTTGATGCTTAAGTTTTCAGGTCTCACTTGTTACTCTGCTGTAATTCCTCTCTCAACATCACTGCTCCCTGGTGGCACTATCCACGCAAAATATTTTCTGTTGATCCACTTGTTTAATTTACATTTATGACATTTCGGTGGTTTCTACAAGATCAATGTACATATAAAAATATCAAAGTCTTGACCAACAGAAAAGCCTGAGTACAAACGCACGCTGACCATTTAGCAACAGAGCTTCTTTTGATATTAGTACTTCTTTGTCAGCAAGAAACCCCTGGCCTCCACTCAGATTTCCGGATACAGGCCAGTGAGAGCAATTTTATTGGTATCAGATGTGGGCATTATTAAGATATTATTAATATCATGACAAGCCATTTAATTGTCCGAGAACTAGAACCATTAACAGATAAGGAAAGAAAATGGAGAAGGGGCTGGAGGTGAAGAGATGTGACGATTGGGGTGGGGGAGGAGAAAAAAGAAAACTGAGGAGAAAGATGAAGATGGCCAATGTAAGAGGCAAGAGCAAAGGATTAACAATGTAAGCAAGAAATCAAAAATAAATCAAGCCAGTTGCAATTGTCAGATCACTGAATTCAGAACTTACAGGTCCAAATCAAATTTCACAGTCTGAGAATATCTATTCAGTCCTTCCTTTAAAAAAGTAAACTGGAAATAAAATGCTGATAAATGGTGAAAGTTCACTAAGTTAAAGGTTGTTGTAAAAATCCAAGATATTAACTAAATAGAGAGAGGAGGGGTGGGGCTAGGGAAGGTAGGCGAGAGGGTGATAGGTGAATGCAGTGGACAGGCAGGAGAGAAGATGGACAGGTTGTGTCAGGTCAAGGAGATGGGATGAGAGGGAGGGTTGGAAATGGGATGAGGCCGGGGGTGGGGAGATTTTAAAACTGGTGAATTCTTTGTTTAGGCCATTGGGCTGTAGGCTACCGAGGCGGAATATGTGTTGCTCCTCCAGTTTGCACATGGTATCATTGTAGAACAGGAGGAGGCACAGGATGGACATGTCACCCAGGGAGTGGGAGGGAGAGTTAAAATGGTTGGCGACCGGAAAGTGTTGTTGTTTGTTGCGTACAGAGCACAGATACTCTACGAAACGGTTTTCGAGTCTACGCTTGGTCTCACCAATGTAGAGGAAGCCACATCGGGAGCAACGGATACATTAAACCAAGTTAGAAGATGTACAGGTGAACCCCTGATATGAAAGGTTTGCTTAGGGCCTTGAATGGAGGTGAGGGGGAAGGTGTAGGGGCAGGTATAGGGGCAGGGGTAGCATTTCCTGCAGTTGCAGGGCAAGGTGCCTGGTGTGGTGGGGTTAGTGGGGAATGTGGAGTGGACGAAGGAGTCGCGGAGTGAGCAGTCCCTACGAAAAACAAAAAGGGGTTGGGAGGGAAATATCTCTTTGGTTATGGGTTTGGATTGTAGGTGGCAGAAGTGGCGGAGAGTATTACGCTGGATGTGGGGGTTGGTGGGGTGATATATGAGGGCGAGGGGAATTCTGTCTTTATTTTTGTTGGCAGGGGGAGAGGTGGTTTGAGGGCAGATGTGCAGGAAATGCAAAAGGTGCAGTCGAGGGCATTTTTGATCACCGGAAGGGGGATGTTGCGGTCCTTGAAATAGGAAGACATCGGAGATGTCCGGGAGTGGAACGTTCTATCTGGGGAGCATGTGGCAGAGGAATTGGGAGTAAGGGATTGCATTCTTGCAAGATGGTGAGCGAGAGGAGGTGTAGTCCATGTAGCAATGGGAGTCGGTGGGCTTGAAATAAATGTCAGTGTTGAGGCGGTTACCAGAGATGGAGACGGAGAGGTCCAGGAAGGGGAGTGAGTTATCAGAGATGGTCCAGGTGAATTTCAGGCTGGGGTGAAAGGTGTTCATAAAGTTGATGAACTGTTCAAGCTCCTTGTGGAAGCATGAGTCAGCGCCGATACAATCATCAATATAGTGAAGGAAGAGGTGGGGAATAGTGCCAGTGTACCAACGGAAAAGTGACTGTTCCACATACCCTACAAAGAGGCAGGCATAGCCTGGCCCCCTTGTGGGTGCCCATGGCCACCCCCTTAGCCTGTAGAAAGTGCATTCATCTGCATTCACCGATTACCATTCCACCTACCTTCCCCAGCCCCATCCCTCCTCTCTGTATTTATTTCCCAGCTCCCTTTCCCCTCCCCATTTCTGAAGGGTTCCGACCCGAAACATCAACTTTCCTGCTCCTCTGTTGCTTCTTGGTCTGTTGTATTCCTCCAGCTCCACACTGTATTGTCTCTGACTCCAGTATCTGCATTTCTTGCTATCTCCAAGATCTTAACTAAATGCCCTTTCAGGAAGGAAAGCCGCATTTGGCCCGTATGTCACTGTGAGTCCCGTGCCAATGAGATTAATCTTAAATAGCCTTTAAAGTGGCTGAGAATTAGTAAGAACTGCAGACGCTGGAGTCAGATAACAGTGTGGAGCTGGAGGAACTCAGCAGGCCAGACAGTATCAGAGGAGTAGGAAAGAAAGGTCCTGACCTGAAATATCAACTTTCCTGCTCCTCTGATGCTGCCTGGCCTGCTGTGTCCTCCAACTCTGCACTGTGTTATCTTTAAAGTGGCTGACTGGGTTTCTCAGGTTGAACTTGTACTGTTGGCTTTATTCTGAACTGCATTAGTCATCTAGACAACCAAGGTAATCAATTATCACATTAATGTAGTACGTATCTCATAAAAGTAAAATGTTAGCCAATTATAAAAGTATTGAATAGAAATTCAGAATAAAAATCAAGCCATTTATTTTAAACATGCTTAACTTTCCAAATTACTCAGTGAAACTAAAACACAACTTTACTTTTTCAAGTGATACCCATTCTTCACTTCTTTTGCTTTCCATTCATCCTCTTTTCTTCCTTCTTTTTCCACCTTCACTCCTCACTATTCCCCTCTGCCCCCGTTCGCCTTCTCCCACCTCGAGGCATCATCTTCCACTTCTTTCTCCCTCCCCGAATCTCGCCTTCCATTCTTCTCACTCCTTCTATCCATTACCATAACAACCTTCATCCCTCTTTGTCCCCCTCTCTACAGACTCATCCCTCCCTCTGTCTCTCTTTCTTATTCTTCTCCCTCCTCGAATTTCTCCTTCATTTCTTCTCACTCTTTCTATTCATTACTGTAAATAACTTTCATCTCTCCTTGTTCCCCACTCTGTCGACTCACTCCCAACCATGCCCCAATTCTCCATTTTTCTCTTCCCTTCCATCTTTCCCTTTTGACTGGGAATGGGAGTAGTTTTGCAGGGGAGGCGGGGAGGGGTATGATGAAGCATGGGGGGTGGTGATATTGGAGGAGATGTGGGGGTATAAGATGGTTTTGGGGAGGGTACTGGCGTAGTTATTGGGGTAAGAATGGTTGTGGAAGTTGGTATTGGGAGGGGTTATGGAGAATGGGATGGTTTTCGAAAGGTAATAGATGATTTTGGGGGGCTATTGGGTGATTCTGGGGGGTTACTGAGGTGATATTGGGAAGTATTAGGATGATTTTGGGGGCCATATCAGGGTGATTTTTGGGATATTGAGGTGATTTTGGAGTGATTTTTGGGGGGTACTGGCTGGTTTTGAGAGTATTAGAGTTAAATTTGGAGGTATTGGATTGATTTTGACAGGTATTGGGTGAATTTAGGGTACTGGAATTATTTTGAGGGGTACGGGTGATTTTGGAGGATATTGGTGTAGTTTTTGGGACACATTGGGGTGACTGTGGGGGATATTCGGGTGATTTTGGGGATATTGAGGTGACTATGGGAGTATTGGGGTGATTTTGGGAGGTATTGGGGGATAATGGGATAAGTTTTGGGGTATTGGGGCAATTTTTGGGGTATTGGGGTGATTTTGGGAGGTATTGGCACGATTTTGGGGGTATTGGGGTGATTTTGGGGGTACTGGGGTGATTTTGGGGGTACTGGGGTGACTATAGGGAATATTGGGGTGATTTTGTGGGTATTGGTGTGACTATAGGGGAATATTAGGGTGATTTTCAGGGTATTGGTGTGACCACAGAGGAATATTAGTGTGATTTT